CTAGTGCACAGCGTGCTGGCCATGCAGCTCTTCGGCCTCGAGAAGGACATGCCGCGACGCAACTTTCAAGGGTTCGTGCAGTCGTTCGTGACACTCTTCCAAGTGCTTTCGGGCGACGCGTGGGCCGACGTGATGGAGTCGATCCTCGAGCGCGACTCGCTGTTTTTCGCGCCATTTTTCATGGTGTTTGTGTTTTTCGGCCAATTTGTCGTGCTCAACCTCTTCATTGCGGTGATTCTCGAGAATTTCGAGATCTCGGAAGAGGAAGCGTACCAACTGCAGCTCGAGCGCGTGCTTGCGATCCCCAAAGAGCTCCAAATGCTCGAAAAGATCGAAGAGGTTGGCGTCCGCGCTTTTTACGCCAACAACGACATACGCCAGCTTGAGAACGTCCAGGACATCAAAGCGCGGCGGTTCCTTGGCGTGAGCGAGCGCCACATACACACTACCGCGTCCGTGGCCCCAGCCGACGCGTTCTTGGACGACATTGTCGCCAAGATCGACACCATTCTGGTCTCGGCCACGTTCAAGTGGTTCATCATCCTCACGATTGTGCTGAGCTGCGTCGGCTTGGCCATGGACGACCCGGTCATCATCAGCCAACTCTCGGCGACGGAGCTCGAGGCGCAGAACGCCAAGGCGTACGCTCTCGCGTCCATCAACACGTTTGCGCTCGTCGTCTTTGTCTTCGAATTCGCGCTCAAAGTGACGTCGCAAGGCTTTGGATTTCGGTACCTGCTCTCCAAGATGTTGCCGTGGTACGAGCGCGCGTATTACCGCAGTCGGTACGAGAGCAACGCGCGCAAGACGCCGCATCGGTCGTTGAAGAAACACTACATTGAAGACCCTTGGAACCGACTCGACTTTTGCCTCCTCCTCGTCGCCGTGCTCGATGAAGGCATTAGCTATGGCCTGCAGCGCACGAAGAGCAACAATCTCGTCAAGGTCCTTCGCGTCGGACGGGTCTTGCGGCCGCTTCGACTCTTCAACCAAGACGGCGACATGAAGCTCATCATGACCTCGTTCGCCGCCGCGCTCCCCGCGGTCCTCGACGTCCTCGTGCTCTGCCTCGGTGTCTTTATCATCTTTGGCATCGCTGGCCGAACGCTCTTTTCTCAAAAGGTACAAAGTGCGTTTGTAGTTGGAGATGCATTTTCTGAGATTGCAGTTTTTGAGATTGCCGTTTGAGATTGTTTGAAATGGAGTAAATTGGTACTCATGGACGATGGTAGATGTACTCGTGCAACGACACCTCGGTGGCCAACCGCGCCCAGTGCACAGGGTTCTACGCCGCGCTACCGCTACCCGCGTCCGACACACCCGTGCTCATGCCCCGGGTATGGGTGCCGTACCGCGCTCGCTTTGACACGCTGGCGAGCTCCATGATTGCGCTCATGGAGCTCTCGTCGGTCAAGGTACCTTAAATGCCTTGTGCGTTTCAAAGACAATATTGTCTCATAGTGGGTGGACACGGCTGAATTCGCCATGGACATTGTCGGCGTCAACGAGCAGCCGATTCTCAACTACAGCATGATCTACATTGGCTACTTTATCTCGTTTGTGTTTATCGGCGGCTTCTTCCTCATTCGACTGTTCGTCGGAGTCCTCGTACGCCACCTTACTTGTCTTCCATCAACTCAATGTGAACGATCGTAGGTGGAGCAATTTCAACGCAACAACGGGACGCAGATTCTCACACCGAGTCAAAAATGGTAGACCCTACTGTCAGCTTGCTCGCTCGATTCATATTCTGTCCAGTTGGGTCGAGCTCGAGCGCCACATGCTCTTGCTCAAACCTCGTTACAGTGTGCCCGAGCCCAAAAATGCGACTCGAAGTCGATTCTACCGCGTGGCGAAATGTACCATTTGCATCCAAGATGACATCGTGTCGATATCGCATGTCTAGCCCATCGGTTCGAGCATTTCATGTCGTCGATCATCGTCATGAACATGCTCTTCATGCTGCTCACCCCCACAAAAGCAGCGCAGCAATGGAAGTTTGCGTTCGAGGTACACGATCATTCATTACTGCCGTGAGCTCACGCCACTTGCTTGGTGTCTAGATGATTGACAAGCTCTTTGTGATCTTGTACTCGTGCGAATTTGCAACCAAGCTCGTCGCGTTCGGCCGCCACATTTTTCGTGATACGTGGCACGTGTTTGACTTGGTGCTCCTGATTGGATCCTACGTCTCGTACTTGCCCGGGATTTCGATTCACCAAATTTCCCAAGTTGATACCCACCAAAAAGACACAATTGGCTCATACTGCGTGCGCTAGGTGGGCCGCATCTTTCGCGTCATGCGCGTCATGAAATTTGTCAAAGTCAGCAAGGGCGTGCGGACCATCTTCCGGACCTTCCGCGCCAGTCTCTCGTCGATCGGCAACGTCGTCTTGCTGCTCGTCCTGCTCTTGTACATCTTCGCGATCCTCGGGCGCCAGGTAATTCTGGATTGGCAACTAGTACTGGAGAAGTACTCATGGATGGATTCGTTTTCTAGCTCTTTGGCACGGTCAAGTATGGCCCGAACCTCAACGAGACGCAAAATTTCCAGACGTTTGGGAACGCGCTCTTGACGCTATTTGAGCTCATTGCAGGTGGCGAGTGGCACCTCCTTATGACCGACTGCATGGTACGTTGGGTGTTTTTCCTCCATTTTTATATTTTTCAATCTTTCAATCTTTCAAAAATCGCATATGTTGATCTCTAGGTGGAAGGCACCGATTGTGCGACGATTGGCACCGAGACCGACTGCGGCGATTACTACGCGGCGTGGATGTACTACCTCGTATTTGTCATTGCGATCGTGTACATCTTCCTCAACCTCTTCATCGCCGTCATCCTCGAGAACTTTCGGAGCTGCTACGTCAAGGACATTAGTCCCGTGACGCTCGAAGATTTCGAGGGGTACCAAGAGGTCTTTGAAAAGTACGACCCGTACCACAAGGGCACGATTCCCATCTACATGCTCCCGCGCTTCTTGCACGTATGTGCCAGCACTTTTAAGTATCAAACTATCAACCCACCGTAGGACTTGCCGCCCAACTTGCGCGTGAGCACGGCCGGCAACCGCATGGCGTATCTGCACCTTCGGTTTGAGATCGAGCAAGTGCAGCTCGCGCCGTCGACGCCGCAACGTGCGCCGTTCTTCAACGCGCTTCTCCGCACCGTGTGCATCCACCACATGGGCATCCGCGCGCTCTCGTACGAGCAACAGCGCGACCGCGTCAAGCAGATCTTCGTTATCAAGGAGAAGGTCGCCGCCATGATCGTCCGCGCCATGCTCCGCGGCGTCATCGAGCGCACGCGCATTCGCGCCAAGCGGGAGACCATGTACGCGCTCACGTGCACCAAGAGCGTGGTCCACCGACGCAGTGTCGTGTACACCGGGCTCCATGTTCACGATGAAGAGGACGTCGAGGCAGCGATCTCAGCTCGCGACGGCTCCGAGAACGATCGACACGATGGCGCGATGGAGACAGGTATCGCCTCGTTGGTGCCTGGGACTGCGTCAATGACGCCCAGTGACGCATCGAGCCTGCAAGACACCACATGCTTGCAGGTCCAGTCGGGCCCATCCGAGCCGGCACTCACGACCGAGGCGTCCGCCAGCCAACCAGCGGGTCCACTAGTGACGGCACACACAAACCTATTCCCGAGTCGACCAAATGCCGACACGTCGGCGGTGGAAGGCTCATCGACGATGGACGCCCGCGCGATGTCGACCTCCGACGCGACAGGTGGCATGGAAGCTACGGCGTCTGTAGTCGAGGCCTCCACAGTGGGCACGGAGACGACGACGACCAAAGCAACGGTCGAGACGAGCAAGCCGATCGAGCCCAACGCCGTGGCTGACGCAACGTCCGCAGTCGAGGCCTCCGCAGCTGGCACCGAGACAACTACAGCCGAGCCATCGGTCAACACGAGCACGTTGATCGAGTACGACGCTACAGATGGGTCCAACGAAGACAAGCCCATCAACGGGAAGAAGAAGCCGCGACATCGTCATCCCGCGAAAAAACTCAAAGCAACGGAGAAAGCAGTCGACGCATCGAGCGTGAGCGAGCGGAGCACCCGCGAGGACAACACGGCGCTTGTCGAGAAGACCGGGGCTGCTCCGGTTGCCGATAAGGGTCTGCGCCCGCTGCGCCTTCCCAAGCTCCACGTGGATAAAGTTACGCCCATTTAGACTTGGTTGATTCCCACCGTCCTATTTATTATCGACACTACAAGCAGCCTTGGTTGATTGTCATCCACCCCACTGTTCTGAAAACACTGTTCCGAAAACACTGGTATTCGAACACTGTTCTGAAAACACTGTTGTCCAAACACTGCTCTCCAAGACACTGTTTAAGACACCCTTCTAGCTGGGTGCAATTAGCCAATCTTGATCTCTGGCAACGATGCTACGGCGCATGGCGACACTGGCGCGGCCGATGCGGTACCACCTGACGGGCGCTGGCGCCAACGTCCAGTGCAGCATGGCCCGCGACGC